TATTCAAATTTTTTAATATATAGAACTCCATCAGCTCCTATCGACTAATTAATTTGGTGAATTTATTTCTTACAGCTCTGGATCTCGTATAGTGCATGCTTTAATTAGGTAGGTTGTTGAGGACTAATAATAATATAATATAATAATAACATTTATAGTACCAAACTACAGATGTAATGGGTAAAAAGATGAAAAGTAAATTTAAATACATGGATCATATAGTTACAACTTGCTCATAAGTCACACGACTAATACGTCTAATATTAAATAGCCTCTCATTCCATTTTGTGAATTAATGTTCTCTCCTGTTTATAATTAGTTGGACGGTAAAAAAAGATTTTTGTAAATTGAATATTTTCTCTATCTCAATTTATATGACATATTTCTAATTTTGAGATTTAAACTAGTTTATCTTGTACTGTAAATTTTCCATATATCTATTAAATATTTTAAATTGTTAATTATTGTGACTTACAGTACCTTTTAAGTAGTCTACAAATAAATAAATTTCATTATTTTTTTAAAAAAATTTTATGTACAAATTTTCGATCAAACTTAAACTGTTTTATTCTCTAAAAATAAAATGTATCACATAAATTAGACAAAGAGAGTAATATCTTTACATGAAACCCATACACACAAATCATAATAAACATGAATCACCTAAGCACAACAAAGTCTATTTGATTCTCTCATAGAGCCCATACACACAATTGTGTATCGACATAGTATATATATATATATATATATATATATATGTTTCCATTGTTATTGCACCAGGATGGTATCCAATCCAGTAATAGTATGTATTGGTGTGGTATCTGATCCAATAATAGTGTATCAGCATAGTACTCGATCCAATAATAATTTATATCGATACGGTATCCTATCTCATGATCAAGCACACAGCACAATCACAACTATAATAAACAATCACCACACGTTAGAGTATGTTATAGTAGGATTAGAGATGTTAATTCTCTAAGAACTTACAAGCTGCGTGTTAAGTTTGTTGCTTTGTAAAGACTTCACTTTAGTGGTTAACACGATAAATTTAATTAACAAAAGATACGTTTTAAAAGAAAACATGTCTGACAAATTGGAAGAAAAAAAAACATAGAAAATATTGCTTTAGGTATCATATTTGAACGAAATGTTATATTTGAAAATCATTGACACTATTATTTGTTTACAAACTAAAAATTACAACTAATTTATTTTAAGAGTTCAGAGAAAAGTAAAAACTTTGCTTTATTTAATTGGTGGGAAAATGTTGTTGTGGTCTTTTTATATTTGTTGTCATAATTGAGCCGCATTAACTGTGGCCATACGGCAGTGTTCTTTTCTTTTTACTATTTGTTTATTTAATAAGTCAAGCAAGTTTATTATTTTTTAATATACTATTGTTAGCATTAAATAACTATAAAATATATTAATAATATCAATTTAGTAAAATATTATGTAAAGATAAATTAATGTAATGAAAAAAAAGAGTAGTATTTAAAATAAATAGAAATAACCCAATTAAATTAACCTTTTATTTAAATTGTTTTAAAATAGTATAATAAAAAAATACAATAAGTAAAATAAAAGAATTATGAGATAATTTATTAAAATTCCTTGTTTCGAGAAAAAAAAAGAGTAGACAATTATCAGGTTACTGATGAAATAGCTATCTGGTCACCCATTCTATGTTGTTGAATTATTATCTCAACTACTCCCTTCCTCTCTTTTTTTTTTGGGGGGGGGGGGTCAATAATGAATTTTAAACATCATAAATTCATTGAATTAATTGGTGTATACACTTAAATCTTAAATTTTAAAGAGTAATTAATATTAAAAGTTATAATAATAATATATTTAATGTAACTTATAATTGGATTTAGAGACGGTACGATATAATCTAAGCATTGACTACATCGATCTTTGTGGGGACAAAAAAAAAACAGCTCAATATTCTCGGTTCAAAATTTTACTTGTAAAATAGATTAATATTTTACTAAATTAATATATGTAGATCATAAATTATTAGCATTATATTATAAAGATATTATTTAATTAATAAATTAATATTTATTAATTTCAATAATATATTGCGATTCAATATAGGTTAATTTTATTTACATTAAAATCATTATATCTTACTAGTTTATATAATATTTATGGAATTTACATAAAAAATGAATATACATCAAAAATATTAGATCTTATTAAATTATTTGTCTGTTGAATTTATGTAAAATAACTTCATAAAGTACAATGTACTGCTCCATCTCGCTATTATTTGCTCACTTTTTCTTTTTTTAATTATTTCTAATTACTTATCAATTTTGATAAATCAAAAAATGATAACTTTTTTTACATATTATATTCTTAATTAAATACATTGAAAAAAAATTGAACTTTTTTAAAAATGTTAAGTTTTTAATTCATCTACTTTATAATTAATAGGGATAAAATGATAATCTCACTATATGAGTAATTATTTTTTAATAGGCATGTCAACTAGGATTTTGCACTATTCGGGTTAAATCGAGTAACAAAAATCAAATCAAATCGAATTCTTATTTGAATTGATTTTGGATTAATAAATTACTTTGTTTAGTTTTTTGGTTGGATTTCGGATTTTAAAAAATAAAAATAAAAAACTAATTATCTCTCTCTATCTATCTATCGATATATCTATCTATATAATTGTTTAGAATTAAGTTGGAGTTAACCATTTTTGTTTTATTTGGTTATTGTCTTTCACGATGATTACATTTATATTTTATGCTTGAACATCTATAATAGGTATACTCATAAGCATTGTGTTTTATGTTTTTCTTATTATTCAAATTACAAGGTATATTTGAGGGATTCAGTACTATTACATTGGTCATGCTATTAATTATTCACATAACTAAATAATTAAAAAAAAAAACTTGAACCAAACAAAAGAAAATTAAATCAAATTAAATTTATTTTATATTGAATTGAAGTGGATTCCATATTTACAAAACTAAAAATCAAAAAATTAGTATAAAACCACCCCAATAATCAAATACATACCCCCTATGTCAACTCAACTAATTAAAGGCGCATTGAAAGCAATTTATAGTATCTGTTTCTTCACTTTTTCTTTTATTGGTCCCCATCGAGCACAACAGATATTGTGGAGTAAAAAAAATGAATTTTGCAACATACTCAACTTAACAGTTGTTACAAATATTTAAATTAATCAAAACTTTGAAACATAATGACCTGATTTCCTTCTTTAATACTTGTACTATAAATTCATTATTCCTATTACAAAGAATCAAATCAATCCGTTGTACAAATATTTGTTACATACACATAACAAATTGCACTATATCTTTATTTTTTGAATGAATGAATTCAACTTTGATATATATTATGAAAAAAGAATTTGATTTGCTTACTACATTCGACTAGCAGGTAACGACCCCATACCATTAGCAATCTGTCTTAGAGAAAACTTTTGAATTTTCCCAGTTGCTGTTTTGGGTAGTTCATCCATGAAAATTACCGTCTTGGGTATCATATAATGTGGCAATCTTTCTCTACAGAAATCAATAATTTCCTTCTCTTTCGGTTTAAGTTTCAGTTCCATCTTCAGACTCACGAATGCACAAGGCGTTTCGCCCCAAAATTCATCGGGTCTTGCTACAACTGCTGCCTCATTCACAAAATTGTTTGAATAAAGTACGGATTCTACTTCAACACTGCTTACATTCTCACCACCGCTAATTATAATATCTTTAGATCTATCTTTAATTTCCAAGTACCCATCTGGATGCACAACTGCTACATCCCCTGTATAAAGCCAATTGTTTTTCATACATTTTGATGTAGCTTCTTCATTTTTCAAATAACCCAACATTATACATCCACCTCTTAATACAATTTCACCCATTGTAACGCCATCCCTCTTTACACTAACTCCAGATTCCGGATCCACCACGTCAACCTCCGTCATACCTAAACTCTTAATCCCTTGTCTAGACTTCAATTTTGCCTTCACATTCGCAGATAATTTGTTCCATTTTGGTTTCCAAATACAAGATACGACTACCCCTGCCACCTCTGTCATCCCATACCCGTGATTCACTATGAATCCTAAGGATTCGACACGAAGGACAATGGTGGCAGGGGGAGGAGCCCCACCAGTACGGAAGTGGACGGGGTTTTGTAATGGCTTAGCACAGGGGGAATTGGCTAGCATAGTGAGTACCACAGGTGCACCACACATATGTGTGACATTATATTTGTTGATAGCATGAAACACAACATTAGCGTCGAATTTTCGAAGACAAATGTTGGTCCCACCAACAACAGCCATACCCCATGTGTAACTCCATCCGTTGGAATGGAACATTGGGAGGGTCCATAGATACACTGGCTGACTTGGTACAGACCAATCTATTAACGAATCAACTGTGATGATAAAAAGAGATCTATGAGAATGTACCACTCCTTTAGGTGAGGATGTTGTTCCAGAAGTGTAGTTCAACGTCATCGCATCCCGATCATTCTCAGGTCGAATCCAATTGAAATTCAAATCCCCCTTCGCCAACATAGCATCATAAGTATCACAGTGATCGAAATCCAAGTTTGTTGAAAACGGAACAGAGTTTTCATCTTCTATTAGGACAAGAATTGGAGTGTCGACATCAGATGGAAACAATGAAATCGACTGAAGTACCAAAGGATATAGCTGGTAATCAACAAACAAGAGCTTCGATTCACTATGTTGGAGCAGAACAGAGACGGTTTTGGCATCGAGACGAGTGTTGATGTTGTTGAGTACAGCACCAGCCATTGGAACAGCAAATTGAAGCTCTAACGTTGCGGGAATATTAGGAGCTAAAACCGAAACAACTTGGCCTTTTTTGATACCAATGAGGGTTGAAATTGAGGAAGCGAGGAGTAAACATCGAGTGAATGTTTGAGACCAGGTGTATGTAGTGGAGTTACAGACAATGGAAACACTATCCCCATAAGCTACAGCAGCTCTTTCCAAGAATGTTAATGGTGTAAGAGGAGATGAATTGACAGAACTTGGTTTCAATTGATCCATATGTATAGACCTGTCTCTTTCTTCTAACAGGTTTTGTAGATGATACAAAGTGTGTTTGTAGATGGAAGAATTGTAAGTTTTTTTATTATATTTCTGTGTTTATAGAGGGTTGAAATTTATTGCATTGAGGAGAGTTTAGTTGAGGTAGAAATAGAATATGGAGTGTATAATTATTGCTGGCTATCATAAATTCTCACAACTATTCTTAATTCTTTAGCTTTAATTTAGAGGTAGACGAACTGCAAATGCACCCACACCATGTGTAAGTATAACTCCCAACAATATCATCTTGCTGTACTCATGCATCATTAACCAAACTTCAAACAGGACCATGTGTTCTCACAAAGATAATAAAAAGAAACAGAACAGCATACCCTTGAACGCTACTCAACTCTAAATCTCAGTTCATGCTACAATATCAAATATCTCATAAATTATGTGATATTCATAGATCAACACTTCGAATATTCAACGAATTCATGGAATATATTCATAATGAAATCAAATTCAAATCACTCTAGTTTGAGAAATACGTCGAAATCACAAAGAATTTTAAGAGAGAAGAATTAAGGGAGGAGCAGAATTGTACCCGAAATGTTTTCTTCATAATTTATTTTTGTGATTGCAATTTATTTTTGTCACTTTAAAATATTTTGCAAACGACATGAATTTTTAGTTTCATTCTCGAACTATTAAAGCTTTAAAAACATTCATTTACTAGACTAACTTAATTTAAATATACTCTTAGTCTGGCAACATGAGTGAACTACACCTTTAAATTCCCACCAAGTTTAAAGATATTTCCAAACACATTTTTCAACTTTTTATTAAGAGTAGCATACTCTTACAAGAATTTGAGATCACTTGTTATGTCGTGTTGTATATCAGGAATATCTTAGTTAGTCAAATAGAGAGATGTTTTCAAGACTGTCAATAGTTCAGAGATGAAACTATTAATTTACGCTAAATTGAGAGATATTTTTAAGACTATCAATAATTCAAAGATGAAACTATTAGTTTGCATTAAATTGAAAAGTGTTTTCAATATTTCTCTTATTTATATTTGGCATTTGACATATTCATTGATGGACGAGACTATTTTGTATCACCATCTCCTATTAATTGTTGTTTAATAATAGATCTTATTTTTGAAAAATAAGTAATTAATGCTATTTTTTGTAAATGTATTTAAAATGACAAGTATAAGTAAACATTTATTTATAAAATATCAGACAGATAAAAGTGAAAAAAAGGAATATTGAAATAACCGCAGGAAGTTCTTTCTCACCAATATGATTTATGCGCTCTTTGATCAATGATATTTTTTACTTGTTCATTTGAGAAAGAATAAAAAAAGTTTATCTATGTAATTACTAATCGGATGTACAGTGCAGTAGGGGGTGCACACAATTTCTCACAAATAATTATACCCGCTATTAATCACGCACTCTCCACCTGGCATTCATTTTGTCATAATCATTTTCTTTAAATCAAAGGTTTACTTTTAGAGTAGTTTCTTTGTTATTCCATTTCTATTTGCTTGTTATAGGCTAACATTTGTTATAATTTAAAATTTATTAAATATTAATGTATAAAATAATTCAAATTATATTAGACTAATGAATAAATAAATATTATGAATTAATATAATTGATTCAATTATAGAAATCCAATAGATAAGAATTAGTACGGAAAAATTATGAGGTTAGGCAAATATATGTTGGTTAATTAGCTAACATAGTTATGTTTTGCATTGACTACAATTTGGAACTTATTTCTAGGTAGAATTATATTCTTCTCTCTCGTCTCTCTCTCTCTTTCTCTCTTGCATCTCTCCACTCTCTCTGAAATGTCACTCGTCACTCTCCTCTTTTTCTCCCTGCCCAATCTCTCTCTCGCTTCTCTTCTGTCAATCTCTCTCTCTCTCTCTATACAAACTTTGTATAAAGCGAAAGAGGCGGGATGTACAAATACAAATGCATATTTCACCGTCATATACACTTAAAAAATTATACAAATACAAATCTTTTGTTGCCCAGTTCTATTTTATCTTTCTCTCTCTTTATACAAACACATATTATATAAATACTATGTATAATTTGTATTTGTATAAAATGAGAGAGAATGTATATGCAAAGACAAAGTTTTTAACTCGAATCGGTTATACACGAATTCAAATTGCAGTTACACATATACAACAATTGAACTGATATATATATATATATATATATATATATATATACACACACTATTTTTGTCTCTCGCTCGCCTCTCTCCTCCTCTTCCAATCTAGCTCATCGGATGTACGAAATACATATGTATACCTACTACATATATATAAGTATTTTGATAAATATACATATACAGTTCGTCTCTCTCCATTCTCTCCCCTTTCTCGCTCGCCTCTCTCCTCCATCTCTCAATCTCGCTCGTCACTCTCCTATCTATAACATGTAGCTATAAATCGTAATTAAAAATTATAGGTATGGAACATAATTAAGCCATTTTGAAGTGACTATATGTAAAAATTCACAATTAATTAAAGTTTAAATTGATTGATTGAGCTACAATAGATGAGCTTAGTTTACTAAGTTCAATGACATCTCATCCTAGAAGTCCATTTTGGTGTCATGTGTCAAATAATGTGGCATGCAAAGTCAAACAAAGAAGCAAATATAATCATGTCATGTGTCAAACCGACAATCCCACTTCATAAGTTCAATATGTCATGTCACTTAAATTTGATTGGTCGAAAGGAAACGTGTTCCTATCACAACTCATATATTTAACAACTATAAATAGGGCTCCTTATAATTTAGAAAATGGATTAGAATTTTAACAAGAAGCAAAGAGAACTCGTGAATCAAAAGTCACATATTTCTCTACAAGTTCAAGAAAGATTAAGATTAAGACTATCAGATTCAAGAACAAGCTTGAAGTTCTTGAATTCAAGTAGAAGTTAACATCAAGATAAAGTTCAAGCTCGTCGAAGATTCAAGAACAAGCTACAAAGCCCTTGAATCCAATATCAAGGTCATCAAGTTTAAGTCCATATCAAATTCATCAAATCCGGTAATTCAATATTTATGTCATTTAACTTTGGGTGTATACAAGACTACAAGTAGACAACTAAATGTGTATAAAGTTGAACAAGTATACACATGGGTTTTATGTGACATAATACACGTAGTATACCACATAGGACACATATTGTCATGTAAAGATAACACGGAGGATATTTGTGTCTATTTATTTAAATTTATACAACTTTAAGTGACTGCTTCTGCATACCCAAAATTAAAGAACACAAATATAAAATAAGATCGACTAAATTGAAGAACATATATATACTATATCTATTATTATTTGTTAACTTAGATGGACCTCTAAACGAAAATGTGAATCTTTAGTCTCCAAAGCTAACTTGTTTAGTTTTTTATTGCTTTAATTACCAAATGATTAATGAGTTTAGTTAAATTTACATCACCTTTGATGTCCGAAGATAATAACTCATATGATCATTTAATTTTAAATAGTTTACTTAAAGATCATTACTTTGTTTTATAACTCAAAATTCACTCAACTATTGAGATTTCACTTAATTAAAATGTCACTTAACTATCGTCTTTTCACTTATAAAGTCAACTATTGATGTTTCCTTTAGGAAATTACTCAACCAACTTAAATAACCTTTTCATTAAATTTTGTTAAAATTATTCTTTTAAACTATTTTTAAACAAATAATAAGATATACATTTTAATTATTTTATTAATTTAACATTCAATAGTAACACCTAACATTTTATTCGCAAATTAAAATCGATATGAATCTCTCGACCCCTTCACAAAAATCAACGGTACTTAAATGTTGGATATACTTTACAATTGATGAAACAGTTTATTACGTGATAAAAAAGAATTAGCCATCGTCCCATGCCATACTATAATACTCATGCATTATTGCATATTATCTTTTTCAAATTAAATTCAACCAAATAATTGTAATACGTAAACAAGATAATTAAAATGGATACTTATTATTTTTTTTAAAAAAAGATAGGTTAAAATAAAAATTAAATTTCAAATTTTTTTATTTAAGTTGGTTAGATGACGACTCTTGATGTCTGATTAATTCAATGTGAAGATTTTAAGGTATAAAAGAAAAGTTCCAGTTTGGATTTGTAAAAGCTTTGGAAAGTGATTTTAGAGGAACTTTCACATATATTCAATCAAAAATCGTCTAATTATTCTTCATAGCTATAATTTGATACTTACAATTTGTACCTACATGTTATAGGATGGAGAGAGGCGAGTGAGACCGGGAAAGAGAAGAGAGGTGAGCGAGAGAGGACAAAGAGTGGGAGAGAGGTGAATTGTATATGTATATCAGTTAGATAATTGTATATTTTACATATGCTTTGTATATATGGCAAGCGAGATTAGGAGAGGAAGGAGAGAGGTGAGCGAGATTTGGAGAGGGAGGAGAGGGGCGAGCAATATTGGGAGAAGAAGGAGAGAGGCGAGAGAGGATAGAGGCGAGTGAGAGAGGACAATAATTTGTATAATTCGTATCTCGTTTGTATAATTTGCAGGTACGTTTGTATAATTCATGTGTTTTTGTATAATTGAGAAATATAAAGTCTGAAATTATACAAATATAATAAAACTCGAAATAACAAATTGATAAAAATATAAATATATGAACTTTATACAATTATACAAAATATATTATACACATTATATTATATAAATCATATCATACAAAATCCAAAAACTACAAGTTTATACAAACTTTTAAAAGTTATACACAAAAAGATTGAATGTACATGATGTCAAAACTGAAAAATCAATGAAAATCATCGTCGTATACAAATACAAACAATCGTATATAAATACAAATAAAACAAAGAATTATTAGCTGTGAATTATACAAATTTGGCGAATTATACATATACAAACATGACTAACTATACAAATTCAAGTAGGGCCATGTAATTAATGTATAATACCAATCGTTAGTGATAATTATAACAAATTATAGCTATGATAAATGATTATGTATTATAAATTTGTTTTACCGCGTAATTTCCTTGATTTTTAATATAATAGAATTTGGAATTTGGGCAAAAACTGATAACTCATTCCAAACATCTTCAAAATGGGTCCAAGGCCCAAAAGCACTTAAGCTACAAGATTTTCGAAGTTCCCAATAAATGGTTGAAGTTCTAAGCCCCAAAACTTATTTCTAAACCAAAAAACAAAGGGATTCTAAATATATTGTATATATTTATACAATATAAATTTAATATATATTTGATGACTAATTATGTAAAAAAGATGTA